CGAGAGAAAGGAGCGCTGCTGAGAAGAATATAGCCCGCAAGGCACATTTGCCTCGGCGTCGCAGAGAGAAAGGAGCGCTGCTGAGAAGAATATAGTCCGCAAGGCACATAAAGGAGCTTCTGCTGAGAAGAACATAGCCCGCAAGGCACATTTGCCTCGGCGCCGATGAGAGAAAGGAGCGCTGCTGAGAAGGATATAGCCCGCAAGGCACATAAAGGAGCGCTGCTGAGAAGAATATAGCCCGCGGTCGAGATCAGTACCGGGGGAAAGCGTGAGAAAAAAACTCTGGCCAAAGGGGTGCGCAGGCGCTGGCTTATCCGCTACTGAGACGGGCGGAAGAGGGTGTAGCAATAGAGGGGAAGCTTCACACATCAGCCAGCCAAGCCTTATTATATCGTACGAAACGGAGAGACGCAATGCGAATGCCATCACATCATCTGCTTTCCATGAACGAGCCTGTTCGATCGCCACCGGGGGTCAAGCGCTCTGTGTATCTTCGCCCTCGCTATGAGGTCCATCGGAAGTATACAGCAGAGAAACGCAATGCGAAAGCGGACGACGGATTTTGCGTTACTCTGTGTACTTTCATCGTCGCTATCCTGTCCATGGCAAGTTTGCTGTAAGGTGAACTGGTGAAGATGTAGTGGCAACGAGCTAAGCGAGGGAGGCGAATGCCAGTGACGCTACCTTGTAGCCGCAGATGAAAGTCTTCTCAACTCAAGTCAGCATTTCAAACTTTTAACCAAACTTTTAACCAATGGTTAATTGTTGATACCTACTACCTTGTCCTGTTCACGATTTTTTAACCCAAAATAACCATGGTTGTTCACTGTGGAGATGAGATCCAACCGTGGAGACTACGTCACTACGGTAGATCCACGGGTAATCTCCACAGCTAGCCATTCTTTCTCCTCGCCGATTGAACACAATTCTTGATTGTGGGTTCAACTTCCAACTTTCTTCAAGTATGACTGGTGCGACTTGAGGATTGGAACGAGCGCACTGTGAGTGGATGAATGCACAGGGGTGATGAGTAATCGACTTCGTTTCTGGCACTGGACAGCTAATTTTATCTGATTTGATTCTGATCGAGTTGTCTCTGGCCTGACTTTCGATGCCTGCCTGGCTGTCAATACTGTCAATAGCTACTGTTTCATTTGCTTCTGATGGATAGGCTCTGGCCCGACTTTCAATGCCTGCCTGGCTGTCACTGATCAAATCTGTGCAACTTAGCTCAAGGTGCTATCTGGTAATCTGAGACTCGCAGCGCCTCACTCTGTCCGCCTGTTTGGCTTTGACTCTGACGCCAGCTCGCACTGTCGTGCTCCGCCGATTCTGACTATTCAAGCGACAACATCGATTCTGTGACCCTAAAAAGTCGTTCTGTGACCGACTGGCTATCTCGGACCTGAGCTTGGTAGCCTTGGTTCAGTTTGGCCCTGACGGTCTCCCACTGTCGGACTATATACTAACTCTTCTGGTCGCCTAACTGTGACTAACTGTGACTAACTGTGAGTAGCGGTTACTCTGACTGGGACAGACTGTAACTGTCCATTACTAACTGCGACTATGACTCCATCGACTGCTTGTGACTGCTTGTGTGACTAATTGTGCGACTGATTGCGTTACCGATTGTGTGACTGATTGTGTGACTGAGGGCGGACTCACACTACCGTCTTCACCCGAATAGAACGCCCGGTCATCATAGCTGCATTTTGCCCAACTTTCAGTCCAGAGGCAACGATAATGACCGGGCGTTCTATTCGGGTGAAGACGGTACTAGGATTTGTTCTACTAAGCTCTGTACGTGATTGCTGTCACAGATTCATCCAGGTCTGGCCATAATTGCGGTCAGATTCATCTAGGAACGTGCTTGTGTGAGTGTGTCCTGATTGTGACTGATTGTGACTGTGTCCTGATTGTGACTGATTGCGAGTGTTTGTGACCGATTGTCTCTGACTTCGACGGCGAGCGTAGGACTCAGTTCAGTTCTGACTGTGTAACTCAGGCTGCTGTATCATCCATCCATTGGGGGGGCTGGTATACCACGCTAAGGAGAGAGCAAGGAGGGAAAAGGGGGTTACAGGTGTAGTTACTGCCCACTTGGACTCAGCCTCGACGCGAGCGTGATGTCAGGACTTCGATCACGCTGGTTTTTCTGGCAGCTGGGCAAAGCGGTGAGCGGCATCGGGGGTGCGCTGTTCCTGCGGTGATGAAAACTTTGAGACTGTCACACGTGAAGTTTAACGGGGTAGAGAGCAAGGCCTCGTTTTAAGTGAGACGAAGGTACGGGAGGTGAAATTCCGCGAAATGATGACAACAGTTTGTGGGACGATGAAAACGTGAAGATACGGCTGTCCAGCTCCCTTGAATGAACACAGAAGGTACCATCATTCGTTGAAGAAAAAGCTGGAGCCCCGTAAGGAACGGCCGCGCAGAAGCAACCAGAAGCCATGCACAGTTAAGGCCATTTGCACCTCGTCCTGTCCGAACTCGATCTTCCTGTCCGGTCTTCTTTTTTTGCGTGTCGTTGTTGCTCTCTAACGCGCGCGCGGGAGAGAGAGAGAGAGAGAGAGAGAGAGAGAGAGAGAGAGAGAGAGAGAGAGAGAGAGAGAGAGAGAGAGAGAGAGAGAATGATTGATATAAATGTAGGAGAATGACAGAGAAATTGTCGTTTGTTACGTTTGGTGTGTAGAATATCGCCTTGTGGCGAAGAAGGGCGAGGGCACCTTCTCGGAGGTGCTGAAAGCCCAATGCATCAAGAATAGCAAGTATGTGGCAATCAAGTGCATGAAGAATCACTTTGATAGTCTTGAGCAGGTACAGTCCCCCCCCTCTCCCAATCTCATCTACCTGTTAACTCGACTCGATTTGTTTCTCGATCTCTCATATCCCCATCGATTGTACGGTACTTCCCGAAGGCACGTCTGTTGTGGAACGTAAACATTAAATTTTAGGGTGATGCTTTCTTTGTTATCCCTTTTACACATTCGTTGGTTGGTTTCTTATCCCTTCTACATATCCATTGTTGTTGTCTTATCCTTTCTTAATATCCCTTCCACGTAGTCGGTTTGAAATCCTTCCTTGCTATCTCCTAATAGTCGGTCTGTTCCCTGTGTCCTGAAGAATCACAGCTTTGAATCTCCACCTCTCGCTGAACAAGCCCGAGAAGAAAAACCACAACCGCTCCCTCGGAACCAGCCCCTGGCTGCAAGAAAGCGGACTCCCCTTTTAGAATCATGTAAGGAATGCAATACATTAACTCTTCTCTTCTGTCTTGTCTGTTAGGCTGTGTTAGCAGCTCGTCTGGCAAAGCTGCAACTGCCCAGTGCTTAGCTCTCCCATCATGGTGCCAAATGCCGAGACAACAACACCACACAAAAAGAGGGCGAGTCGTGTGCCTTGCGAGTACATGGAATGGACCATAATACTACGTTCGCTCTGATTGGAGCTCTGCGCAGCCCCACTCCCTGACTCGAAGAAGTTGAAGTTAGGACACGATGTTTCTTGATGGTACCTCTCCCCTTAAGTCCCCTTAGCTGTCTGTCTGCGATCAACCACACTTGAGGGGGGGGAAAACAAAAGCACTCAATTATCGCCGCACTGGAAGTATTCTGCTCTCAATCGCACATGCACACGAGCACTCAAGCAACACTGGAAGCACACAGGAGCACTCCAACAGCACTGGCATCACTCTGCAGTTAGGCACCACCCAAACTCACTACCGTCTTCCTTCGGACATAGTGCACCCTCATAATGAATGTGTACAAGCTCTGTCTCCGGTCACTTACAGACAAAAGAGGGGTGCGTTGTGTTCGGGGGAAGACGATGGCACACTCATGCACCTAGCGCACTTATGATCACACACGATCACCGGTCACTTACAGACAAAAGAGGGTGCGTTGTGTTCGGGGGAAGACGATGGCACACTCATGCACGTAGCGCACTTATGATCACACACGATCACCGGTCACTTACAGACAAAAGAGGGGTGCGTTGTGTTCGGGGGAAGACGGTAGCACACTCATGCGCCCAGCGCACTTATGATCACACACGATCACACAACTGACTCTGGGGAAACACTCTTCAGTCAACCCCCCCCTCCCGCAGTGAAGCTCACGACCGGTAGCACATTCACGCACCCACGATTGCACGAAGACAACAGCTTTGCAAGCTACTCAAACAACACTGGGATCATCGTGCAGTCTGCTGCACTCAATCACACACAAGCATCCAAACAATAGCGTGACTACCGTCTTTGCCCCGAACACAACGCACCGTGATAATGAATGTATTGAAGCTATCTGTCGACTCCGGTACAGGCATTTTGAGGGTGCGGTGTGTTCCGGGGAAGACGGCAGAGCACACTCTCTGCATTGAAGTTCGGGAACTCTCCCACTGACGAGACTGTCTTGCTTGACTGTGCTTGCCTGTTGAGTGTGCTGGCGTGTGCTTCGTCGGGGCGGCATGCCACAGTTGCCACTTCACTTTTGCTGCCGGCGTCGCAGCGACGACTATTTCAAGAGCCACGGGTAGGCTTTGGGCCTTAGGCAATGACTGGACGAGTTACACGTTACGTTTCGGCCTTGTACTGTGGTTTACAGCAGCCTGCTGCCTGCGTCGTGCTTCAGTGGGACGTCAGCTGACTCGGCTGGGTTCAAATGGAGGAGGAGGGTTTTCATGTTACGCTGGTCGCATCCAACGGCTTAGACTAGGGGCAGGGCTAAATTGACGTCACTTCTTTTTTTGTCTTTTTTTTGGAACACACACAACCCCTTCTACTCTGGGGGCACCAGTCCGGGGCCAAGCTCCCACTTGCACGGTGATTAAGAGATTCTGGCCGTTGATCTTTGCTATCTATGATCAATATCGCTTATTTCGCGTAAGTGGGACCTAGCCTCGGTTACCGGCAAGTGTGGAAAGGAAAAGATTAGGAACATCAAAGAAACAGATTGGCCACCATGACTACAGGGAGTCATGGGCAGGACAATAGCTAAAGCACATAGTAACATCCCTTCTTTTTTTTTCCCCTTTTTGAAAAAAGAAAAAAAAAGGGTCCACCCCCTTCGTGAGATCACCTCGCTACCCTTCCTCTTGTCAATTTTCCTGGTGCACCCCTACTTTCCCTATCCTACCTCAGTGTCTATCATTCAGGACTGCCGCCCTTCTTCCATTCGGGACAGGTGACCTGACTGGACAGGGGTTGTAGGCACCAGGGCTGAGTAGGGCTGAAACCTCCTCAGCCCTAGTTGAAGCATGATAGAACAAGCCTTGCTGGGTACTTCGGGCTCTAGGGGCACGTGAGCAAGCATTCTTTGTCTACAGGTCCCACAGGAAGCTCCCCCAATTATCCCCTCGCACCTTACCCGGGTTCCTAAAAAATGCCAGTCTTATCAACTAAGGGTTCTTTCCTATTCATCAGTAGGAAACTGTTGCACTGAATCATTCTCTAGACCCCACCGACCGTCTTCACCCGATAGAATGCCTGGTCATTATTGCTGTATCTAGACTGAAAGTTGCCCCAAATGCGGCTATAATGAGTGGGCGTTCTATTCGGGTGAAGACGGTAGTTTCTTTTGTAATTGTACTAAGGGTTCTATGATTCTATCCTATCATCAGTGGGAACACAGCCCTGCTGCCCTGACCGACCTACGGTTCCAGTGAATCATTCTCTAGACCCCATCTTAGCCACCTGGTCACTGTTTTAGTTGTACCATAATCATTGTTTCATTGGACTTAGGGGTTCTAGCCTCTCTTTATTAGTAGGTCCACCACCTCCGCCCATCTACCTCCTCTATTTTTACTAGACCCCTCCTAAGTCATTACTATTGTTCATCTGTCTCCATGGTTATGCTAGTCTGTATGTTATGATCTGTGTGTGTTTCTTGTGTGTATTGTTGTGCTATGCCATATGTTGTAGTCCATGTACGTTCATTATAAAGGGTTGTGCTATTCTGTGTATACACTGTATAGTAAGGCCTATCTGTGCTGGACGTCCCATGCGTGCTGAGCCAGAACCGAACCCAGAATCTCCATCATGTAATAGCTAAGCTCAACCTACTGTACTACAACACCAAATAATTTGTATGTGCGCTGTGTCAGGGTGGGGGACAAGTATGTGGGATACCAAACTAGCACCAACTAATTGTGCGAGGGGAAGATTGAGGCTCGATGGAATTGAACCGACAACCTCCCCGTTGCGATTGCAGAGCTCTACCCACAAACCTTTTGAGGGCGGCTAGAAATGACAAAGGGGCGGCAGGCCTCTATTTTCTGTGACAGTTCACAAAGCTGAATTATGAAGTAGGGTGGATAGGTGGTTATGATGAGGCACAGGTGCAGCTGAGGTGCTCAAAGACGAGAGTTCCATTCTTTACTTGTTTCTCTCCCGTTACTCTTCACTAAACCATGCCCTTCCAACCTAACACTGGCTTTTTCTCATGGTACGAGGGCAATGTCTGGCCTCCCTCCACTCACTCTTGCGTTTGTCCAAGCACGCACTTTCAGTTTATTTCCTCCTCCTACCCTCAAGAAAGAACACTCGTCTCCCTCCGTCCATCTTCCTTGCATAGCATGTGATCCCTCCCCCTCCACCTTTCGGCAAGTCCAAAATTCTTTTGTCATGTCTGCAAGCAATAGCAGCAATAACCTCCTCAGGCTGCTGACTTCCTACCCACTGGCCGTTTGTGTGTACCCAACCATGACCCTCTCCGCAAGGCGCACACACTTCTTGGATTTGGCTCACGGTCGGAGTGGACACTCGGCATTGCAAAACCCTTTTTTCCTTTCTCCTTTTTTTTTTTGGAACAAAAGCTCATCTATTCGTGGGGAGCCTCACCTGCTGAGAACCGAGCTCAGCGTCCCTTTGAAGTACAACTGAGAGTATGTGACACATCGAAGTTCCGGGGCCATTTCCCAGCTTCGGCTAAGAGAACAATCAGTCAATTACGGAACCTGCAAAAAACTATGAGAAAAAACCTTAGGAACAACTACAGTTCTTAGAAAAACCTATGATCTACCCAACCACAATCCAAACCTCCTACTGTTTACACCTCCCCTTCAACAATCGAAAAGACGCAAGTCCGAGCATTCAGTCCTCGAACCAGAACTTAGCTGATCTCATACCCCCCTGTGCCAGGGTTACAGAGCAACACAAACTTCCCCAATACCGACCAGCCTGGTTCAGACGACAAAGAGTGTCTTCCTCCCTCGACAACGCCGGATTAGCCACACGCCCCTAAGGTTATAGGAAAAGACCCCGACATCAGCTACGTCGGACAAGCTGGTTATGCCTTCCTCCCTCAACATAACTGCCCAGACCTCTTGCTCCCCCAGGTTACAAAGCAAAAACTCCAGCACCGGCCTGCGTCGTCCCAACATCGTCCTTCTGACCTACTTACTTAGACAGACGTCCCTTCCCATGTTGAACCCACTTGCTTCCTCCCATCTTTTAGTTCTAACCTTCTCCTTCCCCCGCTGACATTCCTGCTACAACAATTTGACTGGACTGGTATGAAAGGATCTGCTGGAAAGTTTGTGGTTGAGTGTCAAGTCTGTTGATGAATCAAACCATCAAGGCAACGGCCCATGGAGCTGCTCGAAGTTCCTCAAACCTCTTCCCATTCCTGACGGTCCCGGAGACTCCGTCTCTATCAACTTCACAAATATGGGAAAGACAAGTAAGAATGACTATTTGCAAATGATGGTGATTGTTGATCATTTTTCCGAATTCCTAAATGTGATTCCATTTCCACCTCATGCCCCAACTGAACTTGTGATCCGAGAGTTCCACCAGAAGTACATTTTGCAGTTCGGGACCC